GTTGGATAGAAATATCCCCTAAATCTAGATTCTTCATCCACTGTCCAGAGATGAAAATCAGGTTGAGCATGTGTCCTCTGTTATGAGTGGGGTCTCGAATTAACTGAGTTAGGTCCATAGCCATCATGGAAGCCATAAACGTCCGAGCTGACTCGGATGTCTCACCAATGGAAGACAGATTGAAATCCCCCAGGATCATAAGCCTGGGGAAATCAACCGCCAATCCAGCAGCTCCGGCAGGGCTGATGAAATGTAACAGGGAGACAGGTATGTAACAAAGAGGCCCACCTGGACATCAAGGCCCCACTTCACCAAAGGGGACTCACACCTGCCTATCTGAGGCACAGTGACCTCCTGAGGTCCAAGACTTTCCCTAATAACCCCCACCACCCCTGCCCCTGCCCTGGGCTCTCAGCTGGTGAAACGTCCAGAAGCTTGGTGGGCATAATTCAATGATGGGAACACCCCCCTCATGGCCCAACCAGGTTTCTGTAATGGAACAAGGGAAGGGAAGTCCACTCTCCCTTCTTGTATGAGGTTGTAAATAGGGGGAGCCTTATGTACCATGGACCTGGCATTAAGCAATACGAGCCGAAGACCCGGGACCTGTAATCCTGAGCACCCAGGAGTGCGAGAGGGGCAATGAGGGTCAGAGCACGCAATCACTCTTAAACAGCAAACCCTCATCCCCCAGACATAATTTGGTCCTAGGCCCCCACCGTATCTGTCCCTCCCACATACAGTAGAGATGGCAACCCCCACCCAATGGAATGGTTTTAATGTCTCCCCCAGAATTCCAACCCTTTCCAGAACTCCTGTCCCATACCCATTAGTTAGCTGTGGCTGTGTCCTGGCACAATCCCCCCCCCCAAGTCTGTCTGAGCCATCCGAATAAAAAAAAACCACCCACCCCTTAAAATTTTATTTTAAAAACCCTGTAAAAAAACCCTAAGAAGCCTCTTCTTCGCCTGCCACCTCTCGGGATCCCAAGATCCGTCATTAAGGAGGCGTCTTGATAAGCAAGAAGGCCATCCCTGGGAAAGGAGGAGTTCCCAAAGGGAGTAAAGTTCTGTCACAGTATAATATAGAGGAGAGTGTGGCATCAACCAAAATGGAGTGACATCACAGGGAGAAGGAATGGGGAGATGACATATCCATGGGGAGGCAGCCGACAGTGTTCAAGGGGGTAGCGGGAGGCTTATGTCCATCATAGTCATGGTTGATGTTGAAGACAATATGTAAGGGTAACGGTCAGATATCAAAATTGCAGCAGGTGATAAATTGTGGGTTGGTGAAATGGCCAATAATGGTGGGGTGAGGACAGTGGAGGCAGCAGCGGCTGCTCCAACAACTGAGCTCCATCCATGTCAGCCACACTCATAACTGTCGCCAGGGCCACGCTCCATTAACCCAGTCCATAGTGTCACAAGGAGAGGGGCCAAATGGCACAGTACAGTGGCCCAGGCAACGGCAGTGATAGCGGGGGGGCACAACACAGGAGCCCCTCCACTCCAACCCCACCCACGCCAACTACCAAAGCCACCTTTCACTGGCATCAATGCCTATGCCAGCCGCCTCAAGCCACTCCCCCGCTAATCTAGTCTATCACGTCCATAAGCAGGGGAGAGCAACCAGGATAATACCATGGCGTGGGCAGTGGCAGCGACGGTGGCAGAAACCCCAGGTAGGGGGCCCCGACAATGACGACCACCACACCCACGCCAGCAGCAGAAAAACACTCTCCATTCACCGCCAACCGCCCCGTTTCACTCAACGTTCCGGCTACAAGGCAGGAAATCACAGCTCAAGGGTATCCCCCGAGGTCCCAGGAAGTTCCCATAGCTGGACCTGGAACCGACGTTGGGATAGGGTACCCCCTGCATACCTGAGAAGGAAACTCATCTCCCCAAAGTTCTCCTCAAACACGACAGGACACCATCTTGGACATGCGCAGTAGGTAGACACCTACTTAAGGTTGGGGTTGGGGTTAGGGTTAATGTTGGGGTTGGGTGGGGTGGGGTGGGGTTGGGGTTGAGGTTGGGGTTAGGGTAATTGACAGTCATAAGTGGTCTGTAAACGGCAAAATTTGAAGGGAAGCGTTGCTGCACTGTGCTTTCTTCATCTGTCCATGGGCCTCATGGCACCTCTTTCCTCCTCAGGGTGGGAGTATGGTATTGTCATCCCTCCTGCTGAGTTTCCGCACTTCTGGAACGCTGCTGAGAAGACCTACCACACGCACCGGCGGCGACGTTGGCTCAGGAAGCGTTTCCGGAACCTCGGCAGGGAGACTCAACAAAACCAGATGGTCGCTTTCCTCCAGCTGGTACTGAATCTTACTCAGGGAGTGGGCACCAGAAGAAAATCAGTGATGAATGAAGGGGGAACTTTGGAAGGGAAGACACTTTACCAGGCCTGTGGAAGGTGGCTAGTGCTGAGGGCAGGCTGGCCCCGGGTGCAACCAAGGAATACACAGGAAACACTGAATTAAGCTTAGCATGAAGTTATTCTATCAAGGAGGTGCTTCCATTACGTCACCGTCATAATTTATTAAATCTTATTTATTTTATTGATATCCCGCCTTTATTATATTTACAAATAACTCAAGGCAGAGAACATATCCAAAAAACCTTCTCACAACAACCCAGGTGGTAGGTTGGACTAAGAGGGAGGGACTAGCCCAGCAGGCTTTCAAGACTAAGGCAGGACTAGAATGCAGAGTTTCCTGGTGATTGGACCAAAGTCACCCAGCTGGCTTTCATAACTTGAACTGATGGTCTTCCGCTATCTATCCTGGTGCCATAAACTACTAGACCAAAGTATCTGCTTGATTTTTTATGATTCTGGGACACAGTCTGGTATAGTGGTGAATTGCTGGTTAGAAAGCAGAAGATGGTGAGCTCTAATTCCACTTTAGACCTAACAACCTGCCGGATGAGTTTGGCCCAGTTCCTCTCTCTCAACTCAACCCACCTCACAGGATTGTTGTTGTGGGGAAAAGAGGAGGAGGAAAGAGCACAACATATGTTCCCCACTTTCTTTCTAAAATAAATGATGATAAAAGTGGGGTGCACATAAATAAATAAATTACAACTCTGATCCTTTGTCTCTCTATTGTCATAACCACTCTGGGGTTACCAGCTTGAGAAAGGCTAAATTCTGACCAAAATTAGATTTCATAATCGGTAAATTTCTCCCTGTGGTTCATGCAGCACTCGGAGGTTAAACCAAAAGTGGAGGTCTGGGAATATGCTCCTCTCTACGGCTGGAGGTTCCACCTCCAGAGACAACCAGAAGATGTTTTCCGGCGACGCTGTTGGCGCAGGAAGCTCACTCCGGTGGCACCCAGCCTGGTGGCACCCATTTTCTACTTGGAAGGCTCCTTGGTAAGAGAAGGCATAACCAGCGTTCTCCAGATCAGGGATCCCCAACCTTTCGGACCTCAGGGACCACTAAATTCATAATGTTAAATCCCATGGGCCACTAATATGATCTGTCTAATGACTGGCTGGGTGGGCGTGGTTACATGGCCATGTGACTGGGTGGGTGTGGCCAACTCCATGTCACTCACATTGAGGGGCACCTCACCAGCCTCTATTTGTCTCTACACTCCCAGCCACTCCTCAACTGCCCGCCTGGGCACCTTAGGGCCCCAGCAGGAAGCAGTTGTTGGAGCTAAGCAGCCACCAAGAGAAAGAGTTGGCAAAACAGCTGGCTCTGTTCAAATTGGATCTGACTGAGAAGGAGGTTCAGTAGAAGTGCCTCACTGAGGACTATGAACATAGGTTTTCCAAACAGAGGGAAGACCTGCGGGAGTGCAAGGCCAGGTACCACTGCCTGGATGCTCAGTGGGATGGTCAGCCAGTTCCAGGCCATGATGCAGTCCCACTGGAACGAGGCCCTCTGGCTCTTCGCCACCAGCAGTGCTTTCCTCCAGCCTTCACCCAAAGCCCCCCACCAGGAGGCCGAAGCAGACCCCAAGTCAGAATTTCTGCCCCCTCCAACTCGCACAAAAAGACCTCAAAGGGGGAGATTCTCTGCAGCAACACAAACGTTCATTGCACGTATCCATCCTGCAGTTTGAGGACCCCTGATTTAGTGCAATATAAAAAAGGCAAATAATTTTTCTGAGGACCACCAACATTTTCTCGCAGACTACCAGTGGTCCACGGACCACCAGTGGGTGACCGCTGCTCCAGAGGGTGGGGGTCAAAAAGAGCCGTGATTAAAAGGGGATGGAGCTCAATTACATGGTAGCGACCTCCATCTTCATGTCCTGTGGATGTCCCTGCCAAAAAGAGAAGCCAAATTCAAACTTTTGCTTTCTCAAAGCTGCTTTACGAATAGCTCTTTTATTTCAGGGTGTGGAGGTTGGTGGCCAACTGAAAAAGAACAAAACTGAAGCTGGAAAGAAAGATGAAAAAGAGGCAATCGAAGTAGAACCCCCGGCTTCCCAAGGCCTTTTGAAGATGAACACCCCTCTTCTCTTCTGCGTCTTCAAGAGTGAGTTCCCAGAAGCATCTTTCTCCAGTTGAGGTTCTTCAGATGGAGTTGGCCTTCACACATTAGAAGACCCAACCAGTAATGTTAGGAAAGATTGGCTCATGCAAGGACAGCCATAAAGGGTGTTCAATTTATCCAGTTTATCTTTCTGAAAACCATCCAACCAGTGGTGAAATCTAATATTTTTTGCCACCAGTTCTGTGGGCGTGGCTTGGTGGGGAGTGTCATGTGACTGGGTGGGTATGGCCAACTTTTTTTCACTTTTTAAAGCATTTTTTTCCTGCCAGATCGGGCGAATAGGCAGGAGAAAATGCTTTAAAAAGCAGGAAAAAAGCTTCCTTGAAAGAAAAAACCCCGATTTTTACTATCGGTTTGCAGAACCGACAATTGTCCCTACCGGTTCAGCAGAACTGGGCTGAACTGGGAGGATTTCACCCCTGCATCCAACTTCGTGTCATCAGCAAATTGGATGAGTTCCTCTTGTCTATTCCTTCATCTAAATTGTTTGTGAAGATATTGAAGAGTACTGGGTCTAAGGTTCTGTAAAGATTATCAGTCATCCACGTCCTGGTTGTCCCAAAGTTGCTTTTTCAGGAGACAACTGGACTTTCTTGTTTTTTCTTTGGAAGATGTTTCACTTCTCATCCAAGAAATCCTTTGTCTCATATAAATCTTTCCATTCCCCACCATCCTGTCAGAGCTGAAGAAGCTTCTTGGATGAGAAGTGAAACATCTTCCAAAGAAAAAACAAGAAAGTCCAGTTGTCTCCTGAAAAAGCAACTTTGGGACAACCAGGACGTGGATGACTGATAAT